AATTTATTTTATTATTCAAAATAGTTTTTCGGGTGGTAAATGATTTCAAATGGAAAAATTGTCAACAACAAAGTTATATAACTTATAATGATTTACAACTTTTATTTTGGTCATTTTTCTATATAACTTTTTTTTGAACAGTTTGAATTTAAATTTGAAAATATGACAACTTCAAATAACATTTTTAAATATTAAATGATTTCAAATGAAAAAAATTATCAACAACAAAGTTGTATAACATACCAATATTTACAACTTTTATTTTGGTCATTTTCTATATAACATTTGTTTGAACAGTTTGAATTTGAATTTGAAAATATGACAACTTTAAAACAACATTTTCAAATACTAAATAATTTGAACTAAAAAAAGTCATCAACAACAAAGTTGTATAACTCATCAAGATCTATAACTTTTATTTTGGTCATTTTTCTATATAACGTTTTTTTGAACAATTTGAATCTAAATTTGAAAATATGATAACTTCAAATAACATTTTCATATACTAAATGATTTCAACTAAAAAAGTCATTAACGACAAAGTTGTATAACTCATCAAGATCTATAACTTTATTTTGTCATTTTTCTATATAACGTTTTTTTAACTGTTTGAATTTGAATTTGAAAATATGACAACTTCAAACAACATTTTCATATACTAAATGATTTCAACTAAAAAAGTCATCAACAACAAAGTTGTATAACTCACCAAGATCTATAACTTTTATGTTTGTCATTTCTTCATCCGATATAGTGTTGGTAACATTGTTTACAAAATTTACATATCTGTGTTATAGTTTATAAAACTAGATGAGAGATATGTGAATTTTGTGAACAATGTTACTATCACTTTATCGGATGAAAAAATGACCAAAATAAAAGTTATAGATCTTGATGAGTTATACAACTTTGTTGTTGATGACTTTTTGAGTTGAAATAATTTAGTATATGAAAAATGTTGTTTGAAGTTGTCATATTTTTAAATTCAAACTTAAACTGTTAAAAAAAACGTTAGATAGAAAAATGACCAAAATAAAAGTTATAGATCTTGATGAGTTGTACAACTTTATTGTTAATGACATTTTTAGTTAAAATCATTTAGTATATGAAAATGCTGTTTGAAGTTGTCATATTTTCAAATTCAAATTCAAACTATTAAAAAAACGTTATATAGAAAAATGACCAAAATAAAAGTTATAGATCTTGATGAGTTATACAGCTTTATTGTTGACAATTCTTCCATTTAAAATCATTTACTACCCGAAATTTTTTTTTGAATTTCTTGTATTTTAAAATACAAATTTTATACAGTTCAATCAAACCCGGATAGAGAAATGACCAAAATAAAAATGGTAGATCTCAATGAGTTCTACAACTTTGCCTACAACTTTGCTTTTGATAGTTTTTTCATATGGGTTCATTTAGTATCATAAAATTCAATTTGAAATTCATTTTTTCCTATAAGTCTGATTTGCATCTTACTCATGATAATACTTGCAAAATATATATTTAATCCAATTAACTCAGATTTGCTGGTGAAATATGTGATCAAAATGGATGTTATGTGAATGTGGTTGTGTTATGTGAATGAATGTATATGAATAGGGGATGCTAGGATGTGACATCCTGGCCCAGGCCTTAATATGATTAATAGAATACTCATACAAATTTTTTTCTTGGAAGCAGCTTCCAAAGAAATATGAGGTTAAGTGTGCTCGGCTTAGAGTAATTTCAGGATGGGTGACCGACCGGGAATTTGAGGTTACGCGTGCTCGGTTTAGAGTAGTTTCGGGATGGGTGACCGACCGGGAAATTCGTCCCAGGTGTGCATGAGTCCGGATAGGTGACCGACCGGGAAGGCACACGAGTGAGGGCAAAGGCCTGAGGCCAAAAAAACAAAATTTATTTTTTTGCAAAGGCCTGAGGCTAACAAAAAATCAAAATTTATTTTTTTTTGGATTATACTCATCTGTGACGGGTTATAATCTAGGCCCGTTGGAGATATGAGTCATCCGTGACGGGCTATAATCTAGGCCCGTTAGAGATGAGAGTCATCTATGACGGGCTATAATCTAGGTCTGTTAGAGATGAGAGTCATCCATGACGTGCTATAATCTAGGCCTGTTAGAGATGAGAGTCATCCGTGACGAGCTTTTGTGTTGGCCCGATTGAGATGCGTCATCCGTGACAGCCGGATGCCCGATTGAGATATTTTCTCACATCACTAACCATGTCCGAAAGAGATGATATTTTAAGCCCGTTAGAGATAACCAATCTCGTTCCGTTGAAGAACAAATTAATTAGCTTCTTTTTCCCATCTTCAAGGAAAGGAGCTAGCTAGCCAAGAACTTTTGTGAAGTTTCTGTTTCGAAAAAAATGTGAATAATGTAAGTAATAACACAGACAACAAAAGGATGTGATAACGTAAACCTGCACAAACGGCCAACCTCTGTTTTACCACCATGCACAAAACATGGCCAACGTAAACCTGCAAAAATCCGAAATCACTAAACCAAACCCATCAATTCTCATATCCATCTTAATCCATCAATCTTTCGAGAAAAAAAACTAAAGCAATTACAATTTACTGAGTGATAGTTTGGGTCATCATCTATATTTTTCTTAAATAAGCTTCCAAATAAGCATGCCTTGGCCTCCTATCCAACTGACGCAAGTACAAAAAAGAAAGACACAAATTAAATTCCTAAAATTATGTTATTTTCAATTTACTTATCGGATTATTGTTGTAAATTTTCTCTCCACTTTGTAAAAATACGTTTTTATATAAAAAAAACTTTCTTTTATGCATGCATTGCTTATACCACTTATTTGAAATTTATTTTTAAGAACGAATTTATCCTACCCTTAAATGAAGTAAACCCTCTATCCAAAAGTTTAAGGTATATTTCATTTTTTTTCTAAAAATCTAAGCATATTTCTGTCTCTATGTGTTAAATTAAATTGTTCATTGTACCGATGAGCCATCTTGATACTAATTGGTTATATGCATGTATATAATTTTTTTCATTTTTATCACATGATGAATGAGTTAATTTCTTCTTATATTTGGTGATAAAAGAAATATGTTTTTGACTTTTAGATACAGGGAGTAGATAATTAATTTATGATAATAATATCTGGTCTGTCAAACGCGTTTGTGCGAGTAGTACTAGTACTACACATCTTACATTGGTCGCCATCTCTGGATTAATTTTAGTCCAAGACTTTATCAAATCGAAAGCCATACATGATACTAAGAGCAAGTATAATAGCAAACTATAAGCCAGCTATAAATACATATCGAGAAGATACATGAGGAGAGATAAGAGCAGCGGACTATAAATTTTGTAGCCAGTTGCAGCACGGATTACAAGATGTAATATGTTTATAACAGGTGAGATTAGGTTTTACTTGTGTAGATATGTTTATATGTAACTATTGCATAAATTGGCTATTAAGTTGACTGTAGTTGATTTTGAGCCAACAGTGCGCTATACTATTAAACTTGCTCTGAGGCCAACTTTGTCAAAGCACCTTTCCAACGCCGCACAGATCTAACTCACACTGTTCACCCATAAATAATTCCATGGAAACCCTCACTAGCTCTCCAACTACGGACTCTACACTCTAAAGGAGAAAATTGACATTGTGCCATCATCAAAAGTGGGTTTCGTCCAAATACCACTCTGCAAAATGGATTCGATAAAATGCCACTGTCAACACTTGGTTACACGCTAAAATACTATCTCGGACCAAATTACCCTCCTCTCATCTTCTTCCTCCCTCCATCACCATCAGCTCTCACCGGCGGCCACCATCCCGCCTTCGCGTGAGCTCTCCTCCATGGCTCCATGGAGAACCACAGGCCACAGGCCCCTGCGAGGACCCCTCCCATGGCTCCCCTCCCCGTGCCCCCTCCCATCGCCCCATCCCAGCCCCGCCTCCGCGAGACCCCGCACCCCGGCTGCCGCCGCCATCGCCTCCACCTCCGATGACCACCACGCCACGCCTTCGCCATGGTCATGCTCACCAACGACTCCACCGTGCGGGCGCGCCTCCGCCGCCTGGAAGAACAGGAGCGGCTGGGACGGTGGGTTGGCACGAAAGATGGAGATCGCCGACATCGGCGGCAGCGGCGCGGATGGTGTGGAGCGTGACCACGGGGTCGTCGGTTGGGGGTGGTCGAGGCGGGGAGGAAGGGGAGCGGAGGTGGAGGAGGATGAGTCAGGCGTGGTGGAGGAGGGGAGGAAGGGGAGTGGAGGTGGAGGAGGATGAGGCGGAAGGGGAGCGGAGGTGGAGGCGGGCGCGGTGGAGACGGCGAGGAAGGCGAGTGGAGGTGGAGGCGGGCGTGGTGGAGACGGCGAGGAAGGCGAGCGGAGGTGGAGGCGGGCGCGGTGGAGGCGGGGAGGAAGGGGAGCGGAGGTGGAGGCGGGCGCGGTGGAGACGGCGAGGAAGGCGAGCGGAGGTGGAGGCGGGCGCGGTGGAGGCGGGGAGGAAGGGGAGCGGGGGTGGAGGCGGATGAGGCGGGCGCGGCAGAGGCGAGCCGGCAAGGCATCCCTTGTTAGAGGTGGAAGAAAGTAGTAACAGGGGCATTTTTCTCCGTTCGGGCATTATAGCGTGTAGTCTTTAATTGAAAGTGGCATTTTAACGAGGCCCACTCCCAGCGTGGCATTTGGGCGAAACCCACTTTTGAGGATGGCATAATGTCAATTTTCTCACTCTAAAGAGTCCCTTTCAGTACAGTTAGGCAGTAGCCATGAGAGCTATACGTACGTGCAAGTGCAACTGCACAAGAAGAAATCATGGAATTATTAACTAATGCCCTTGTTGTGATTAAGACCATCTAATCCATCTGATCAGCGAGTGACACGCATGAGATGAGCGAGCTGCGCGCAGCAGCTAGTAGTAGAAGATGCTAGCGTAGTCCGTGTAATAACCTACCCGACTTAAATTAGCAGCAGTTACTACCACCTGCTTCGCAACCCCCACCGCCATTAATGCGGTGATCTACTGCTTGCTGCTGCTGCTACTAGCGTCTTCTTTCCTTGAGCTTCAGCTTAATTAAGCTTCATCTCCATCGGTCGCCACCTGACCTCCCCAACTGTGAATTGAAACGGAGGGAAATGGTGGAGCAGCAGCATAAAATCCAACGTGATTCTCTCGGCTGGCTGTGCCTGTGTGTGCAGCTAAGCTAAGCTTGCTTGCTCTCTCTTCTTCTTCGTGTTGTTGTTTCTCTCTCTGTCTCGCTGTCTGTTGCCACCATTAATGGCTGGCTCCGTGGGTAGCTGAGCTCTTTGCTGGCCGAGCTGAGCTAGCCTACCTAGCTGGGGGGAGAGAGAGAGAGAGAGAGAGAGAGCATAAGGATCTTGGAGGAGGTGGAGATGGAGTACGGCGGCGGGCGGGAAGGAGGAGGAGGGATGAACGGCAACGGGACGGCGTACGCGGGGGCGCTGTCGCCGGCGGCGAGGTACGCGGAGTCGGGCGGGGCGAGCCTGACGTGGGAGAATCTGACGGCGGTGCTCCCCGGCGGCGGCGGGCGGGCGACGAAGAAGCTGGTGCAGGGCCTGTACGGCTACGCCGTCCCCGGCAGGGTGGTCGCCATCATGGGGCCCTCCGGCTCCGGCAAGTCCACCCTCCTCGACGCCCTCTCCGGTATCCTTTCTTCCTTCCTTTGCCACCTCCATCTCTCTTTGCTTCATGCATGCTCAGCAGCAAAATCAAAATAAATATTCTTTTGAGGAGATTAACAATTTAACATGGTTTAAATTCATGGAACAGTTAATTTTTTTGCGTTGATTTTTGTGATAGGATTTGTATTCAAGGCAAGGATTTTTGATAGATGGGATATTGGGGTTGTTTTGAGTGTGGCATCCCATTCCATTTCACCCCATGTACTGCACGAATTTCACCCCATGTACTGCACTTCTTGCTGGCTTGCTCCATGCATGCCCAGCAGTCAAAAAATAAAAAAATAAATCAAAACGCGGTTTATCAATGAATTCTTTTTTCGAGGAAACATGGTTTGAATTCATGGAACAGTTCAAATTTCGCATTGATTTCTGTGCCAGGATTTGTATTTTAAGGCAAGGATTTCTGATAGATTGATATGGGGTTGATTGATTCTGTTTTTGAGTATGGCTGCAGGGAGGCTGGCCAGGAACGTGCTCCTGACAGGGAAGGTGCTTCTCAACGGCAAGAAGAGGCGACTCGACTATGGCGTCTTGGTGAGTTTGCTAATTTAGCTCACAATTTCAACATGCAGATGCTCATACAATTTCTAACTTTTTTCACTCTGAATCTTACTCATCAACCGTATTCATGTTTTTTCTATTGCTGATTAATCAATTCGTCAGCTTGATTAGAGTGTTCCAAGTTCGACGCTGCTTGAGTGTTAAATTACGCACGAATTTATCACTGATACTACATCTTAACCCCACTAGCTGCAAGGACGAAGAATGTGGACTTAACCCAGGGAACAAATATAGATTCAGATCTTGTTTGGAATTGAAGGAGTGTAGGATAAATCGCAGATTTGACGTTGGGGTGTGTGAGACTTCCTGATGACTGGCAGAACTATCACACGTGTAGCCACTCGGTGCGCCGACTCGGGGTATTCGACGGCTAAGGATGCATAGATAGATGTATGGCACCTAGCTAGATACAGTCATAGAGTACAGTACTGAGCATGGCATCCCATGTGCACACTCTTTAATTTTAGGTGAAGCATTGGAACAAATGCAATTATGCTTGGTACCAAAGTAGTGTATACCAAACCAAAGCAAGCCATTAATTTAGCTAGTTAGGGTGCAACAAGGCTTTTTATTTGATCTGCTGGTGATTGCTTAGTTCCTCCCATGTTCATGGTTTCCTCTTCAGAGTTCCTATGTTCCTTTCACTTTGAATACAGGAATGTACTAATTTTGCTTGTCTTATCTTCAAATTAGTATATATTGCTTAAAAATATCACTGTGAGTCTCTTGTAGCAGTCTGTATAGTTGCACTCAGAATGGAGTGTGAGAGGGACAGTTTGGTGCTGCCCAACTAATTTTTCATTTATGCCAATTAATAAGAGGACACATGTATAGCATATCAGCATTACAAATGTAGTTATGAGTCTCTTTCATATGTTTCAATATGTGCACGCATGCACTGTCACTGATATTTCAAAGCCAGATGGGCTTCTAAATTAATACAGTATCAGATACCCGATCCCTCCGGCCGGTCATAAAAATATGTCGTTTTCAACATCCTAAGTCAAACTTTTGAAACATTAAACATTTCTATCTTTTAGATATTTGGGTTAGATATGTATGAAAATCATAAAATCCGTTGATGAAAAGTACTTTTTGTAATATTGCAATATTATTCGGTTTTGCAATGGCAGAATTAATTATGACAGCTTCGTATAGTTGACTGCTGAAGCGAGAGAGGTCGATCAGAAATCACTTAATTGCTAGTGCTACTAACTCTGCATCAATTCCTACAATTTCATAACAGTTTTAGGAGCTATCTGATTTCCTTGGAAGACCCTTTTTACATGATGACTGATTGATTAATTTCAAATCTATTACATACTATACTATACTAGTACTATAAGTTTTTTTTTGCGTAATAGTATAAGCTAATTTCACTAGCTTTTTTACTATAAATTGAAAGATTGCTTGAGATTTTTAAAGCCCTCTGGAACCACAGTAATTTTCATAAAAAAATTTCATAGAATTCATAGCTAGTCAACAACATGATTCTCACATACACATAAATACCACAGAATTCCTCATCATTGGCAAATCTGAGTGTGCCTATCATTTCAAATTTAACCACTATGGTAAAATTTGATTTGCTGAGGTAACTTAAATCAAATAACCAATCAATTAGTGATGTAGTAATAGCACGGGCATATGATGACAGGCGTACGTGACACAAGAGAACGTGCTGCTGGGGACGCTGACGGTCCGGGAGACGGTGACCTACTCGGCGCTGCTCCGGCTGCCGTCGACCATGTCCAAGGCGGAGGTCCGGCGGGTGGTCGACGACACGCTCGACGAGATGGGGCTCCGGGAGTGCGCCGACCGGAACATCGGCAACTGGCACCTCCGGGGGATCAGCGGCGGCGAGAAGAAGCGGCTGAGCATCGCGCTGGAGATCCTCACCCGCCCCAGGCTCCTCTTCCTCGACGAGCCCACCAGCGGCCTCGATAGCGCCTCCGCCTTCTCCGTCATCGAGACGCTCCGCCAGCTCGCCGTCGACGGCGGCCGCACCATCGTCTCGTCGGTGCACCAGCCCAGCAGCGAGGTCTTCGCCCTCTTCGACGACCTCTGCCTCCTCTCCAGCGGCGAGTGCGTCTACTTCGGTGACGCCAAGCTTGCTCCACAGGTGTGTGATAAATCTTCAGAGAAAAGTACTTGTAGTAATAATCTTCCTTTTTGTTTTCTCCAATTAGCAATGAACAAGTAGATGATGATTATAAAATGAGTTTTAGATATAATTTATGTGATGGTTTCTGTAATTGTTGCTGTTCCTGCAGTTCTTCGCGGAAACAGGGTTCCCCTGTCCTAGCCGGAGGAACCCGTCCGATCACTTCCTCCGGTGTGTCAACGCCGACTTCGACGACGTCGCCGCCGCCATGAAAGGATCCATGAAGCTGCGAGCAGTATGTCCAGCTACTGAAGAGATGTTTGTAAATGTGATTTTTATCTGATGGAACTGAATTCCGACAATTTTGTGTTTTTTTCAGGAGGCAGATTTTGATCCGTTACTCAAGTACTCCACGTCAGAGATCAGAGAACGGCTGGTGGACAAGTACAGGATCTCCGAGTACGCCATGATGGTCAGGAACACGATACACGAGATCAGCAAAATCGTAAGCACAAACCTGAATCTCTTACCACATCCAAAATTAAGATCAATTCAAAATAAAAATGAAAAACCTGATCAAACATTCCAAAAATTCCAAACGCAAAATGCAGGAGGGAGTGATCGAGGAGGTGGTGATGGGGAGCCAGGCGAGCTGGTGCAAGCAGCTGACGACGCTGACGAGGCGGTCCTTCACCAACATGTCGCGCGACTTCGGCTACTACTGGCTCCGGATCGTCATCTACGTCCTCATGGCGGTGTGCCTGGGCACCATCTACTACGACGTCGGCACGAGCTACGCGGCGATCCAGGCGAGGGCGTCGTGCGGCGGCTTCGTGTCCGGGTTCATGACCTTCATGTCCATCGGCGGCTTCCCGTCCTTCATCGAGGAGATGAAGATGTTCACGCTGGAGCGGCAGAACGGCCACTACGGCGTGGCCGCCTACATCATCTCCAACTTCCTCTCGTCAATGCCGTTCCTGCTCGCCGTGTCCTGGGCCAGCGCATCCATCACCTATTGGATGGTCAAGTTCAGGCCCGGGTTCAGCTACTTCGCCTTCTTCGCCCTCAACCTCTACGGCGGCGTCTCCGTCATCGAGAGCCTCATGATGATCATCTCCGCCCTCGTCCCCAACTTCCTCATGGGCCTCATCCTCGGTGCTGGCGTCATTGTAAGCTAAAATAACCTGCACATTTCTATTAATTGCTACTCTCTTCGTTTCAAAATATAACAATCTAAGATCCGTACTAGAAATCTGACATAACTCCTATCTAGTTCTAGATTGCTATATTTTGGAATAGACGGAGTATTACTGAGGAATGCCTTTTCTAGCTTGTATGCTGAATCTTTCCATGGATGTATATATGATGTAGGGGATCATGATGCTGACTTCTGGATTCTTCCGGCTGCTTCCGGAACTTCCAAAGATCTTCTGGCGATACCCGGTGTCCTACATTGTCTACGGCTCGTGGGGTTTGAAAGTAATTGACTTCTGAATGACTTACCATGTGCATTCTTACTTGGTGCAGAGACCGAAGTTACGACAATGGTGCTAATCACTCTACCTGCATTGGAATTGCAGGGAGCGTACAAGAACGATCTGATCGGGCTGGAGTTCGAGCCGATGATGCCGGGGCAGCCGAAGCTGACGGGGGAGTACATCATCACCAAGATGATGGGGCTGAGCCTCAACCACTCCAAGTGGCTGGACCTCTCCATGATCTTCGTCCTCCTCTTCGCCTACCGCCTCATCTTCTTCCTCGTCCTCAAGGCCAAGGAGGCCGCCGCGCCTTACATCCGCGTCGCCTACACCCGCTTCACCATCAAACGACTCGAGCGCCGCGCCTCCTTCAGGAAGACGCTCGCCATGTCGTCCATGTCCAAGCGGCACAACCAGCCGCCACACCCCATGGCCGTCCAGGAGGGGCTCAACTCTCCAATGCCATACTGAAGAACTGTTATTACAAGTTACAACTACTACTACTGATGATGATGAAGATGAAGATGATGATTGATCGATCGAGCAAGAAGAGGCCGGTAGTTTGGGCGACCTTGCGACGACGATGACAACAAAGATGATGATCATATAGATGGTGTTCGTGTGCCACGAATCGATTAATTAATACTTGTGTATGTGTTGCCCTTGGATTGTTTTCAGCTCGTTGGAAGCTGGAAGGGTTCATAAACTGATAGCGTATTCTTTTTTTTAAGATCTTGTATTTTACTGTAAGAACTCGGTCTCTGTGACCAATACACATACAAAAAGGATGCTGTGTAGTTGAGTGTTTGTTGTTTCTTGTTTTTTTCCCTGATTATTTATCTGGCCATGTCGATCTGGTTAGAACATGCTTGTGCTACATTGATCTGGAAGAAAATGCCTGCAGACTGATTACTATCGATCTCAAAGGACAAAACGATGAGAAAACAAAATTTTCATGAGGGCAGAATGGAGGTAAAATTGATACGGCACGAGGATCATGGGTATTGGGAAGTGCCCTTTTCCCCTATATATGATGGAATTGAAGTGATTTCCTGAATAGTATGCATCCAGGTGATTTCTGTTATCACAACAGATTCAACAGTGTAGTTCTGAGAGAGAAATTATAAAGCAGAGTATTGAAGAATCATCCAATGTTGCAAGTGCAAGAATAGGAAGGATTCATTTATTCATTGTACTATTATATCACCTGAACAAAAGTACTAACAAAATATAGTGGTTGAGTGTAGCATGACAAACTTTTTGTTCAAATTAATGCTCAAAAAGCACAGCACAAAACTCATGATACGGTTAAAAAAAATCTACTTAAAAAACTTTCACATGTTTTTTCGGTCGAAAACTTCCAAATGTAACTACAATGTAGTTTACACTGTAACTAAAATATATGATGCACATAGCTGATAAAGGGTACCCTGGTTTGATCCCCGCCCAGCCCGCGCGAGGTTTTTGTTCTGCCCGTATATGTAGCACAAATCTTGGAGCGGATCAGACAGCTAGAAAATAAAGTTTCCCAAACAAAAAACCATCACAAATTTTCTAGTAAAACAAAAAAAATCACATGAGAATCAACTGGATCTAGGAAATACCACTCTGGTTTTCAATAAATGACGATGCCATTGACTTTTTAGGCAAAATTTGCTACGGGACTCTTAAAAAACGTGTAATTAGCTGTGGGACACCGTAAAAACGTGAATTGGCTATAGAACACCGCAAAAAAGTGATAATTAGCTACTAGACACCGGAGGTATTATTTTATTATTCCCTATAAAAACGAAGAGAGAAAGAGTGTTGAAAGTACCAAAATACCCCTGTGTCGTTTTGCTTGTTCTGGAGTCCCACTGATGCCGCTGCCCCATGCCAGCGAGCTGCCACGCCATGACCGGACTAAGCAAGGAGAGAAAGAGATAAGAAATAGAAGAAGAAGACAAGAGAAAAAAAAAAGGAAGAGCAACCTGTAGCCATCGCGTGGCCGCCGGCGAACAGCACGCCGTGCCGTGCCACGCCACCACGGCAAACGGCTGCCGCCGGGCAGCCCACACCGAGACCGCGGCGCTCACACGCGCGCCTTGGCACGCACTACCGTCGCTCACGCCGTGCCTCTGCCCTCGTCGTCGCACGGTCATGCCGGCGCCGTCCGACCATTCCTCATTGCTCCACCGCCGCACATGGCAAGGAACCATGAAAAGGAGGAAGAAATGGAAAAAAAAAAGGAAAAGGCGCTGATGGGCGTCGCCGCACGCCGCCACCGCATAGTCGAATGGCGCCGTCGCCAGGCCCCCACAACGCGTGAACCCATCGTATCTAGGTGGTGTTTGGTTGGAGGGACTAAAGTGGGGCTAAACTTTAGTCCCTTAGGGACTTATGTTTTTGTGAGAGCGACTAAATTTAGTCCCTAGTGTGGAGAGAACTCCTTCAGCGAGGAGTTTACGTGTTAATTACTTACCACAAACCGGGCTTAACAGAATACAGGTATATATAGCTCGGATAGAGTTGTTGTGCATCTACTAAAACATAGGAAACTTATCTTATCTATCTAAACAGCCCAACAACTCTTATCCTTCGCTATTTGTTACATTATCATATGTGAGAAATATCTAACACTCCCCCTCAATCTGAACCTGTAAGGTTTAGATTGTTTCTAAACATCTCTAACTGTCTGACTGACAGTGTCTTGGTGAAGCCATCAGCAACTTGATCTTTGGTAGATATATATTCCACTTGTAAAAATTTTCTTGCAACCCGCTCACGAACAAAGTGATAATCTACCTCAATATGCTTGGTGCGAGCATGAAAAACAGGATTAGCTGTCATATACTTTGCACCAATATTATCACACCATACCTTAGCAATTTTGGGTGCCTGAATTCCCAGTTCATGAAGTAAGGTTTGTATCCACATAATCTCTGCAGTAACATTAGCCAAAGCCTTATATTCTGCCTCTGTACTAGATCTGGATACAGTAGCTTGCTTGCGTGCACTCCATGACACAAGATTAGGCCCTATAAAAACAGCAAAACCCCCAGTAGAATGCCGATCATCCAAACATCCTGCCCAATCTGCATCAGAGAAAGCACTTACAAGAAGAGAATTAGACTTGCTAATTTTTAGCCCAAGCTTAACTGTATGTTTCAAATATCTCAAAATCCTCTTAGCCGCCGCCCAATGCTTAGTGGTTGGTGCATGCAAATACTGGCACACCTTATTTACTGAAAATGATAAATCTGGTCTAGTCAGAGTCAAATACTGCAATGCTCCAACCAGACTTCTGTACCTGGTACTGTCTTCTGGTCCAAAAGGATTACCTTCATGAGCACTTAATTTTTCTGAAATAGACAAAGGAGTATTGACTGCTTTACAGTCACTCATATTCACTCTCTTTAACACATCCATAGCATATTTCTCTTGTGTCAAAACTATGCCATTATTTACTTCTTTCACTTCAATGCCTAGGAAGTAATGCAGTCTTCCTAGATCCTTGAGTGCAAATTCTTGATTAAGATTCTTAAGCAAAGCATTAGTGGCATCAATAGATGAGCTGGCTACTATAATGTCATCCACATATACCAACATAAACATAGCAACATCTCCCTTACTGTAAAAGAACAAAGATGTATCTGACTTAGATGATTTAAAACCTAACTCATGCAGCTTAGTACTTAACCTGGAATACCATGCCCTGGGAGCCTGCTTTAAACCATATAAGGCCTTATCTAGTTTGCACACATAGCCATCTTTCTGTTCATAACCTGGTGGCTGCCTCATAAAGACATCTTCCTCTAGAACCCCATGAAGGAAGGCATTCTGTACATCTAGCTGACGAAGGGTCCAACCTCTAGAGATTGCTATGGACAAAATAGTTCTGATAGTAGCAGCCTTAACTACAGGATTGAAGGTGTCCTCATAATCTATACCATATCTCTGTTTGAACCCCTTTGCCACAACTCTAGCCTTATATCGATCTAGACTGCCATCGGCCTTTCGTTTGACCTTATAGACCCACTTACAATCTATTATATTCTGCCCTTTCTTAGAAGGAACTAGGTGCCAGGTTTTGTTTTTCATAAGAGCCTGATATTCACTATCCATTGCTTCTTTCCAATTTTTATCACCTAAAGCCTCATGCAAAGTTTGTGGTTCTCCAGAAGATGTAAAACAACTGTATCTAACTGTCCCATCAGTGTATATTTTCTCTTTTCTAATACCACTTTGTAACCTTGTTTTAGGTCGTATTACCTCAGATAGCTGTGCAGACTCAGACGGCGCAGATGATCCTGGCTGATGTGACTGCTGCGCACCACCTGACGAAGACGCGACAGCACGGGCAGGCGATGGAGGAGCAGCAGTAGGCGATGCAGCAGGCGACGTGGCGCGCGCTGGTTGGATGCCCGAGCGCTGCTGCTCCGACTCCCCCTGCGTCGCAGATCCGGAGGCCTGCCGCTGCAGCTGCGCCTGGACCGACGCTGAATCTGAGGCGGATTCTCCCGCCAAGTCGCCATTTGCTCCATGTACCCGGCCAAATGCCCCCGGTATATCTGAATTCACATTTCTGGGAGATTCTGCACATGAAATATCAGTAGCATTTGGCATAGAGATATTAAACAGATGATCATGATGTTCCTCTCCCCCTTGATCAGATGTTTTCTCATTGATTAGAGTAGGAGGAAGCAAAGAAATTTCAGCTCGAAGACGGGCGCCAGCATTTGGATGAAGATTAGCAAAGGGAAACACTTGTTCATCAAAGGTGACATCACGAGATACATATACCCTGCCGGTAGAAACATCTAGACATTTGAACCCTTTGTGGATATTGCTAAAGCCAAGAAACACACATTGCTTTGAACGAAATTGAAGCTTATGAGTATTGTAGGGGCGCAAATTTGGCCAACATGCACAGCCAAATGTTCTTAGAGATTTATAATCTGGTGTTTGCTTAAACAACCGTTCAAGGGGTGTATCAAATTTTATGACCTTACTAGGAAGGCGATTAATGAGATAAGTAGCAGCTAAAAAGGCTTCATCCCAGAATTTCAAAGGCATGGAGGCATGAGCTAAAAGAGATAGACCAACTTCTACTATGTGGCGATGTTTGCGCTCTACAGCTCCATTTTGTTGATGTGTGTGAGGGCAAGAGACATGATGGGAGATCCCTATTTCATTAAAGAAAGTGTGCAGCTTAAGATATTCGCCTCCCCAATCAGTTTGCATTGAAAGAATTTTGCGATCAAATTGCCTTTCAACAAGTTTCTGAAATTCATGAAACTTCTGAAACACCTCAGATTTATGCTTAAGAAAGTAGATCCAAACGAATTTACTATAATCATCAATGAAACTAACATAGTATTTCTTTGCACCTACAGACTCAGAGGCAGGCCCCCACACATCGGAATGAATAAGTTCCAAAGGATTATTTGACACACTAGTTGATCTAGGAAAAGGTAATTGATGACACTTTGCTTGTTGACAGGCATCACACACAGACTCATTGACAGAATTACTAAGACAAGGCAATTTATTTTGACTGAGAATTCTAAGAACAATTGGCTTGGAGGGATGACCAAGACGCCCATGCCACCTCACAAAAGATGGCGTCGCAACGAAGGCCTGTCTCAAAGACGATCTGGCTGGAAGTGGGTACAGGCCTCGTCGACAGGGACCTTCAAGAATTGTCCTCCTCGTGGCCTTGTCCTTAATCAAAAAATATTTGCCATGAATTTCAAGAAAAGCATAATTATCTGCAACAAGTTTATGAACAGATACTAGATTTTTCGCCGCTTCAGGAACATGTAAAACATTTTTAAGATGCAA